GAGATGCAAAGAAAGTCTGAGAAACTCCATGAAGTTCTTCCTATAGAGCACTGACAGGTTTCCAGAGCAGTTTGAAATGCGAGCAGTGAGGGGATGAGTCTACACATGGGGTGCTTCTTCCTTATCTGGGGGTGGGGACCCGGTGGAGAGCAGTGATGAGATCTCTTGAGCAAATCAAGGGTTTGGGGGGAATCTATGAGTCACAAGAAGTGGTGCAAGGTGAAAGAGGGGCTCTCTCCAGAAAGATGGAAGATGTTCTGGCGAAGACATAATTTATGATTTTGCCAAGGATTATATGAATCAATCTGTGGTGCCTGATAATGCCTCCTTGACCTGCACCTGCCTTCTTGATCGTGGTGGCCGAAAGCTGATATGAGCGCTGAACCACCATCTGACTTCTCTCCTCTTGCCACAGACAGAGAGGTGATTACATGAAGAAAGGAACATGATGCCTCTTTAAGGCCTTAGGAAGTCCCTGCTCAGGAGATGATCTGTGATTATTTTCTTGATTTGAAATCAAATCATGTGTTCTTATTTTTGGCTTGAAACAAATATGGCCATCATACCTGGAGAGTTTTGGTAGACTTGTATAGACTTTAACAACTGAGATGTTTGTTCAGTTGCTCCATTTGTTTTTTGGGTTCTAGACTGACCAAATGAACCACATGATTTTCATATCCCCTCCACCTATGTTGATTAAAATATTTAATAAAAATAATCATGACTGCAGTCTATGGGGCATTAGGTATCAGGCACTGCACTGAGGCACTTTGCATGGAGCTACCTCAGGAATCCTCACAAGAACCTTCTAAGGTTGAACTTAGAAGTTCTGGGACACAGCCTTTAAAACTGTAGAGTCTCTCTAGAATATGTTGTGGAAACATTAAAATTAAAAGAGCACACATTTTCTAATCAGAATTTAAGTGCTACTGTATTTCTTAAAAATATACACAACTTACAGTCACTTATCTCAGTATTTTTTAAAATGCAAAATCATAGAAATTAGAAAGAGGGACATATCTTCTAATTTATATCTTTTGGTTGATTTAGTTATCATTTGCTATTGTAAAACTTAACTTCCAAATGACTTTGTTAACACAATTTTAAAAGAAATACAAAAGAACTGTGCACACACAGATACTATGACTAGAGACTCAAAGTCCTGAAGAATTGAAAACTTTAAAAATGACTGCCATAATAAGCATTAAAATATTATTTTCAGTAACAAAAATCCAGCTACTTTGACTTTTCAATGTTAAGTGAAGTTAAAATTTTCCTTTAGTATTAAATTTGGAGAGTTGTAGAGACTAATTTGAAAGAAGTGCTGAAGTAATAGTGAGCAATGGAATTTAAACATCTCCCTTGTCTTTGTGAAAATTGTAAGATATAATATTTAGCTTTAACCTCAGGCTAATTGTATTCTGAAAAGGGAATTTGACAGAATCAATGTTAAATCTTCAAGTGCTTTGTTTTGAGTATCTTAGTTTTCTAAAGAGGGAAATTCAGTGGATTCCTAAGGGTAAAATTACCACAATTATATTTTCATGTCACTTGAGATATTTGTTGAACATATAAAAATGGCTTTTTATTTGGAGTCATATTGAAATTAATAAAAGTGCCACAATAATTTGCTTACTGCTTGTGTTAAGCACAGTTACATAAATTCCAGATGCAGAGACTTTGCAACCACACGATCACGTGACTAGTTTTCCACGTTCCATTTCTGCCAACTCATTGCTGGCTATCACATTTAAATCCTTCTTTAATAAGCCACGGAGGCTAAAATATGATATCTGGAGGTGGGTAATCCAGAAGGATTTACAGGTGGCATCTAAAAAAAAAACCTGTTTGAAGTTTAGTTAATATGCATTTTTATGTCTTTCCTGCCTACGGATTCAAAAGTTGGAAAGTTGTGGTAGATGACATACTAAGCTGTCTTAGAGATAAAGGAGTGCCCACATTAACAACCAAAGTCTTCCTCTCTCAAGCTTTTCTGGGTATTAGTCATTGAAACACCACTATCTTCTATAATTTGCCATGCATGGATACAAATCCTGCTAATCAGATTACATTTTTGCTTCTTTGTGAGCTTATGCTGTCTCAGAACTTTTACCCCAAACTTCATTATTTAGGGGAAAAAAAGAGAAAAAAAAACCAACCCTGTATGCTTAGTAGAGCAAATACCAGCAGAATCTGACACACTCCACTAAGACCACAGGAATTCAGTTACCATTCATGGATGAATTTACCTTAGGAACTAAGCCAGTGATTGATCAGCTGGAACATTCAATAAAGAGTTCTTTACATCAGCAGAAACACAATTAATCTATGCTTTTGCTTAATCAAATTTTAAGTCAAAAAATTTTTTTTTGATATGCAAGGAATATTTCTCCTTTTGGAAACACGTCAAGAGTATTGTGGAATATTAAAATATACTGATTCATTGTCCTTGAAGAACAACAAAACTACCCTGGCATTAGAGGTTATTAAAGATTTGAACTAAAGATATGTTAATTTTATAAATTTTTCTAAAAAACAGAACAAAAACCCCTATTGCTGTGAAAAAATTAGAGTTTTGGAGAAATAACCTATATTTAATTAATAATTACTATCTGATTTAATTTTACTTATGTAGATACTAGTCTGTTGTCTCTTATGTTTAATAGAAAGATATAAAAATGTATTCCTTTATAAAAATGAGTTCCTTTCCCTAAAAATGTTAATATTAATGCTTTGAGAAAAATATCTGTACAATCACTATAATTTTAAAATGACTCTAATAGAAGTTCTATATTATCTGAATCAAATTATAATATCTATTTAGGAAATCTATTTTATGTCTGTGTTGCTATGGAAATTTTTTTTAATAAACAAGGATTGGATTAAGTCTCTAATAATAATAGAATAGCCACAAATCTATCATTTGATTCTAGAAATTCTGTAGAAATAGAGTTTAAAAAATCTGCCTCTTTTAAGATCCTGTTTCATTAACTACAATTCCACAACTGATAGTCTAGATGCATGTAACAGGGCATCTTATGTTTGTAATGCCGGAGAAGAGGTGACAGGAGGGCATTCTCTGGTCTTTCATCCATTTCCTTCATACATCTGGGTACCCTGGATGTATCAGATCTACACCTGCTTTCTGCAGCTGAAGCCACATGGTTGATGGTGGAATAACAGTGCCCTGGGCAAGAGAAGAAAGTCCTGAGACAAAACATTACAGGAGAGCATGTTTACAATGGCTTCCTTTTCTCCCAAGATCCATCAGCCTCCAGCTGTCCAAGAACAAATGTGCAACTAATCTGTAGGGGTGAATGCCTACGCACTCTTCCCCACTTTCTGCCCACTCCAGGACCTTCCAACGAGAATTCTCTTCCAACGAGAATTCTAAACATCTCTCAGTGAAAGAAATCCTTAGTAGCAACTGGAATAGGAACCTTTGCTAGACCGCACAGGGGCAGAAAATTACTCCTCTTGTCTAGGTCATTGCAGCATGAGGAAGCTTCTACTCGTCAAGGATCTGAGATGGTGGGTAGACATGGACAAGAACTCCAGTCGTCACAGGAAAAGAGATCTGAAGTGTGTGCTTCAGTAAGCAAGCACTTCATACAGACATATCTGTTTAGTGACACTGTCCCCCAAATCTGTCCCCTAAAGCCCCCTTAAAACTTGCAAAGGAAGTGTTGTCCCTTTTATAAGAAATAAAATCCAGAGCTTCTAACAGAAGGTAAGGGCAATTTACTTGATTGACATGTTTCAGCACTCACCGAGGGCTAAAATTCCCACCCTCCGCCACTCATGTGCAACTCATTGACTCCGTGAGTGCTGACCTCTATTATTACTGCTGCAGATATTTATTCTTGAATAACAGATTTTTGGATGAGTCACACTCAGGTTCTCTTCTACTTCTTCCCCACAGTAACACCAGAATTCTTCATTTGCATCTGTGTTGCCATGGAAAAATGAACATTCTGAAAAGCAGGCAGGATTATGAGTTTAAATCAAAGTCTAATAGTAGGGGACAGAAAGAATGCAGGTTGAAAACACACCACAGCTAATATGACAGAAAAATGCCAACTTCAGTAATGAGAAAAAGAAAATAGAATTCTACGGACTCTCTGATAAATACTCTTTTAGATAAAATACTTTATTTCAAAACTCTTTTTCAGGTTTTGTTTGTTTGTTTTTTAGTAGAAAAACACCCTCATGCTTAGAAACAAAGTAAGCATGCTATTTTCACCACCTGGTGCACCGCGGTCAGACACAAAGGCCATTGTGCACCAAACAGCAGGTAATTGGATTCCATCTACACTGTGAACCTGCTAGATCATTAGCCATCTTTTCACTTGGAAATAGAAATGGCTATTTAAGAGGAGCAGGAAACAAAAACCAAAAACCAAACCCTCTGTTTTTAGTTTATTGGACAAGAGGGTATGTATTTGGATCCAGGTCACCTTATCTCAAATTCTTCAGGTTACTATGGGTTTGTGTACAGAAGACATGTTTCAAGGGGGAGAGATTAAAAAAAAAAGGCAGAGAGACATCAAGAGATAGGGACATGTCAAGATAGTGAAACAAGAAGAAAGGAATGGGTTGGCAGTATTAAGAAGAGAAAGGAAGAAATACAGAGAGAGAACCAGGAAGTGAAAGAAGCATGAGAGAGAAGAAGAGAGAGAGAATGATCGAAGAATAAGAAGTAGAGAGAGAAAAATGATTGGAAAGAAATTTGGATAAAAAAAGAGGAAATTCCTGCCTTTAATAAGAAACTTCACCCAAAAGGTCTGGGCAAATTCAGTAAAGTGGGACCATGGGGAGAAGCAAGTGCAGTGGCAAGTTACCATCATCCTAGACTCAATGTCTTGTCCATCTGAATGAGGCTTCTATCCCTGACGCCCTCACACCCACAGCACAAGCTTTAGTTGGGAGCAATTGGCAATCCTAGTGGGAGACTTTTCTAAACGAGAAACCTCTTTCGATGTTGTCTTCTCTTTTTACAGGTATGCTCTGAGAAGCACTTGAGGATTTTCCGACATCTCGATCCTTACTTCTGCTTAGACCACATCCAGTCAAATGTGCGGTTCCTGCATCTCCAGGCTGCAATTTTTAACCCACCTACCCTTGGGTGAGCAAGCCGTTGGCGACCTGCCATCACAGAGGGGAAGTGATGTGGCCCAGCGAAGAGAAGGCGGAACCGACAGGCAGGAGACGTGGCATCAATCTCAGCGGTGCCACTAACAAAAAGAGACTGTAGGAGAGGCAAGAAGAAACTGGAGCTGATTTCTACCCTTGGGAAAGACACACGTGTAGATTCTGAGGATGTTATTTCTCTAGGGTGAGAAGAAAGGGTTATCAGTGCTTCATATCCCATGCGATTGGAATATGCCGTGAGGAGGGCTAAGTGGTCTGTTAGGATTAAGCTAAAGTTGCTCAACTTAACGGCTGAGAGGGAGGCTGGAGTGAGATTTTATTTTATTATTTTATTATTTTAAGATTTTATTTATTTATTTGACAGAGAGAGACACAGTGAGAGAGGGCACACAAGCAGGGGGAGTGGCAGAGGGAGAAGCAGGCTTCCCGCCGAGCAGGGAGCCCGATGCGGGGCTCGATCCCAGGACCCTGGGATCATGACCTGAGCGAAGGCAGACGCTTAATGACTGAGCCACCCAGACGCCCTTGGAGTGAGATTTTAGTCCCAGATAAAAGCCCCTATAAAAGGAAAGGGTTGTTAATATTACTACCTTGTGACCTGTATTAGTTGAAATTCATCTTCCCTCAACATTCATAGGGCTTTCTCTGAAGTCTATCCCATTGAAGCATTTAGCTCTTTCTACTATGTACACCAGTTGTTCATGTTCACACCCCATCTTGTCTGCCAGACTGTAAGGACTTTCAGTGAAGAAGCTGTCTGGTTAATCTGAATGCCTTCCACAGCACCTAGATAGAGTTTGGTGCTGCACAGTAAGCACTCAGCTTACGTTCGGTGTATAAATCACAGAAGCAGTCAAGGAGGTCTGTTTCTGGGACAGGATATATAAAGACTTCAGCTTTGAGTTGATCTCTAATTTTATTGCTAATTTTGAGGAAATTGAGTTGAGAATACAGTATTCAAGCCTTAGAAATTTTAGAATGGCCAGTGTCTGAGTTATTATTAATAATAACAATGAATTGCTATTATGTGCTAGGATCTTTAAAGCAGTTACCTTTCTTCCTTGAATTAGTATTCTAAGCTACCTGTTATTATGTCCATTTTGCAGATGAGGAGACAGGGAAGTAAGTAATTTGCCCAAGGTGACACAATGAACAAAGGGAAGAGGCAGAGGGGCTGAGTTCAAATTCAAGGCAGCCAGTGCATTAATATTGGACCCAAGGTCCCCTGCTAGTCAGACCAGGAATTATACAAGCTCCTCCATTAAATCTGGACTCCCCGGAAGGCTCTCCATGCCTAGATGACTACAATAAGCCACTAGCAAGGACAAAAAGGCCAGACTAACTTGACTGTAACTGTGGGCTTGGGTTTATCGATAGTAAACTCCTATGGCATTTGCTCCCTCCTCTGCAAATAATACTACTCTGTAAATAACAGTACTTCCTCCATGGCTGTTGAGTATAATTTGTGTTAAGTTAAAATGAGATGCTTGAAAAACTCCTAGAACAGTGCGTAGGCACATGGTAGGTACCTCAGTGAATGCCATTTGATTCTGAATTTCTGCAGGAGAAGTAAAATGGTGGGATTTGTGGGATAATGTGGAAATCTTTCCTCAACGTTTATAGCACTTTTCTCCACAATCTATCTTATTGAAGCATTTACCACTTTCTACTCTGGGTACCAATTATTGCTGTTCACACCTCAATATATATTTGTGGGTCAGAGCACATATTTGATACTCCTCCATCTCTAGCCCTAACTGCAAGGCAAATCTCATCTAATTGTCATATTCATTGATACAGGTATCTGCCAAGCAAAAGGACAATCCTGAGAGGAACTCTTCTAGATTTTGAGCTCTAGGACAACCCTTCTACCCTGTCCAGACTTGCTTCTCTTTGCGAGTTAGTTCAGATCAACCAGAATTAGGAAATACTGCTTTTAAGAAAAGATAACCTTGACCACACATCCACCTTCACTGTTCATACTATGACCACTACTACTACTGAGAGTAGCTAACACTTATGAACACTTAGAGTGAGTCACACATTGTCCTAAGCCCTTTCTGTCTTATTTCATTTAATCCTCAAGCAAACCTATGAGATATGTACAATTTTTATCATCATTTTACAGATGAGGAACCTATGGTTTATATCCCTTGTCACAGCGTTATGTACTCTCAGTGTAGCAAAGTTAAATCGACTGCCACAAAGCTGTTCCATAAAATCAGCATAACAGTATGCAATCCAGCATATGATCACATCAGAAGAGATTCTATGCACATTACCTTTGTCATTAAATAATACCCCAGGGGAAGGAAGTGTGGGCACTAGATAACTATGATTCAGTGAATGTCACTTAATTACAATAAAGATACAAATAATTAATGGATATATAGCCAGTTTCACTATTAATAAAAAACACAAATAAAAGACCTCATATTTTTAAAATTCTCACATTTGAAAATTTAGGGGTGCCTGGGTGGCTCAGTCGTTAAGTGTCTGCCTTCAGCTCAGGTCATGATCCCAGGGTCCTGGGATCGAGCCCCGCATCGGGCTCCCTGCTCGGCAGGAAGCCTGCTTCTCCCTCTCACACTCCCCCTGCCTGTGTTCTTTCTCTCACCATCTCTCTGTCAAATAAATAAATAAAATCTTTTAAAAATTTTTGAAAATTTAAATAATAACTTTCAGTGTTGGGAATAGTGTTATGAAATGAGCATTCTCATATTCTGCCAGGAGGAGTAAAAATTAGTATATTTGTAGAGGCAAAATATATCAAGAGCTTTGCACATTTTCATATTCTTTGACTCAATGATTCTCCATCCAGGGATTTATCTCAAGGAAGTAAACCATACAAAATATTGACATGTAAGGATGTGTATCATAATATATTTAATAATAACACAAAGTTATGGGTAGCAACTAAGAACACAGGCTCAAATGAGCATCTGGGTTCAAATCCCAATCTACAGTCACTAGCTCTTTGACCTTTGGGACATTTATCTCCCTAAGCTTTAGTTTACACTTCTATAAAATGGGACTGTATAAAGCCCTCTGCAGAATGTCTGACACACAATATGTGCTTAACAAATATTAGCTATTTTGTTTTTATTTTCTCTATTTCTCTATTCCTATTATCATTATTACCTTTTAACCTAAATGTATAGCAATATGGTATGGTTGTATTATATATAATCATCTATTTAACAAAATCATGTTTTTCAAGATTAATGATGTATAGAAGTGATAACAATCAGCTAAGTGACAAATGTATAGCACAAAATTACAGGAATTATCACAATTTTTAAAATTATATAGCTCATAGATATATGTGTGCATGTATACCTGTATGTAGAAAGAAAAAAAAAGAAAACATCAGACTGTTAATACTAGATAGTTTTTGGGATTATAGGGGACTTTTTGAGTATTTTCCAAATTTTCTACAGTGGATATATGTTACTTTTATAATCAGAAAAAAATTGGATAAATATGACTTTTAAAAGATTTATTTATTTATTTTAGAGAGAGAGAGAGCATGCATGCGGGTGGGGGGGAGGGGCAGAGGGAGACAGAAATAGAATCCCAAGTAGACTCCCTACTGAGTGGTAAGCCCAACAGGTTCGATCCCACAACCCTGAGATCATGACCTGAGCTGAAATCAAGAGTCAGACACTTAACCGACTGAGCCACCCAGGCGCCTTGTACTAAATATGATTTTAAAGCAGTTTTCACAACAGATTGTTTTAAACCACACCGCCCCCCACCAACACACATATACACATATGATGGCAATTGATTTGAAGATCGCAATTATGAATATGTGTGGAATTTTGACTGCCCATACCTATTTCCATTTCCTAACAGCAAGCTCACTGTCTTTAGGAAAGGCATATTGTCCTCACTGAACACAGTCTAGCAGGATTGTATTCCAGTCCCCTTCCTCTCTGAGCCAAGGAAGAATCGTATTATTGGAGCCAGACTAATTGGGTCCTTCTTTATTAGAATTTGAATCTAGAACTTGAGTAGAGCAGCAAACGGATTGAAAATATTTGGAATTTACTCTTCCTGGTATGATTCCCTTGACCACTCTGTACCTGATGTAAACTGAACCTCTAGTTCTGCTTTCCTTCTTCACCAAGATGACATGGTCCCTGCTAGTTTCCAAGCTTAGTTCTCTAGCCTTCCTGTGATTCCATGGCCTCCCACTAGTGTTTCAATACATTTCCTTCCGCTTAGGGTTGCCTGAGTTGTCTTCTGGTGCTGGCAACCAGAGATCCCTTCACTTGTATTAAATTTACAGTCTTAAAGAAATGGCTAAATAAAAACTGATTAACTTATTAGTTCATACCACTAATAAGTTAGTTTCAAGACATACAAAGAGTTTTGGCTTATCATTAGAACACAACATACACACTATGTTGTTGAAATTTATCCTTGCCTTTTCAATTCTATTGGTTAAAACTGGGTACCTAAAACTTTTTCACCTTCTGTGGGCATGGCCCACCCAATATTTCAGAGAGAAGTCATGGCTAAATAGGAGAGTGATCTTTTTTTTTTTGGCCATTCATGCATCCCTAGTAACAAGAAATGTTCCAAAAGACTTTGTTCTAAATAGACAGAATGAAATATTCATTAAACCACAGACTCTGGGACTTGACCACCTGGAATTAATTCCTACTTCTCTGCTTGCAATCCAAATGACCTTGAGAAAGCTACTTAACCTTCAGTTTTCTTCATCTGTGAAATTGAGATAATAACAGTTCCTAGGCATAGGGTTGTTGTAAAGATTAGTAAAGTTAACATATTTCAAGTACTTAGGGTAGAGGCTGACATATACAGAGGTTCTGGACAAAGGGGCATAGAACTTTTTAAAGCAGGGACCTAATTAGAAATAGCAAAGGCCTAGGGATGTGGAAATGGATGTCAGTCTGGGGAATAGGGAGCAGTTCTGTGGGTAAGGGTAAGAGAGTAGCAGGAAATGAATGAAGGAAAGTAGGCCATAACACATCCTTCTCACTGGCAAATAAAAAACCAAAAATTTATTAATTGAGTTCTTTGTGGGAAGCACTTTGGGGAACATGGAAGATGATATAGCTTTCCCCAAGAGCTTATAGGCCAGTGACAAAGACAAGACAAAAACACATAAAAACTAGGCAGCAGTTTCATGGCAGGAGCTATATTGTCTACATGATGTATGTGTATTTCTGGGAGCTTAGTTCAGTGCTAAGCTCAGAGCAGACACTTAATAAATGGATACAGAATGCATACATAAATATATTTGCCCTGTTAACCTGTTGAGAACAACATTCCTGAGTTATAACATCTGCACAGTATCACTGATTTCTATAAGAATTTAATCTTCTCTTAATTGCATCTTCAATAGGACACCAAAGCAGCTAGTTGAAAAGGCAATGTTACCTGAAGAAATTATTAGTCCTGAAGCAGGAAAAACACCTTGTGTACTTGATTGAATTCATTTTTCAGAAACTAAATTTAGAGTAAACAGGTTTTCTCTTTAAGATTTTGATTTTTTTAAGATAAAATTATTTAATGTGTTTCAGAAATCCTATTATAGGATATTTTATTTGATTTTTTTCAAATAAAGCAATTTTTTTTCACTCACAGCACCCCACTATGTATTAATAAACTGTCAAAAACAAAACATATATGTCTGTTCTGGGTATCCTGCTGTAAGGTCAATGCACAACAGCATTTCTGGGGTTTAGGCTCTATAGACTAAATGAAATATAAGTATTATTGGCTTTGAATAAGCCATAGTCATTTTTGTTAGTTTTAATAAACCTCTGTCAAACAGCATTGACAAGAAATTCTAATGGACTTCATTTGCAGAACTGAATAAGAAACCCACTTGAAGTAAGCAAAATGCTCACTCAGATTATTTTATTTGAATATAGACCTTTGAAACTGGGAAAAAAATCTGAAAGTGTTTATGTTCAAGCCCCAGAGCCTGGGATATAGCATTTAAGTAATCTTAATGATTCTACTTCTTGACGCTTTGTTGCAATTATAATTTTGCTACGCAGACAACACCTGTCAGCACTTTCTTCATAGCTTGAACAAGGTGGCCTGTTCAAACAAGTATATGAACACTATCAAACGACATGATTTGTAGTTTCATTTTTGGCAGGAGACACACTTTTCACATAATGACAGGTCATCGAGTTGCAAGCCAGTCTCACTCTTTGATCTCTGTCAAGAGCAAAACCGGGGAACAAAAATAGCTTTGCTCATTTGTCTTTTGCTTATTAGCTGTATGATTTGATTAGCAGCTTAAAAGGAAGCATAGCTGTAGCACTCCACTATGTATTAATAAACAACCACATACTTTACCGTAATTACTTCATTTCCTGTGTATAACAGAGCAGTGGTGGTGACACCAAATGCTACTTTCTAACAGCAGGTGGAATTTTGATAGAGCAACAAGATGTTAGGGGGATCACTATACAGGTCTGCTTCTTTGCATAGGAAAATCTCCTTACAATAAACTTGTGGAGACCAGAAGGTGGATTTCTAAGGAAGACTAGACCCATGAATGGGCCAAACAAGCCTGGCAACTTTGGATTCTTTTCACAATGTATGCCATATTTACTATATGCAAAGGCGTCTTTTGAGTGGGAGAACAAAGGTAATATATTGGGCATGTGCAAGAAAATAAAAGATATGTATTTGTTATTTAAACATAAATATAAAATATGTAAATATATTGATATATAAATAATATATATTTTTTATGAGTAGTATATAAATTAATATATAGTTTTAAATATATGTGTTTATACATATGCATATATGTTTATATATATATATAAACAGGGGAGAGGATACAATAAAATCTCAGATATCAGAAATTCCTGCCCCCCATTCAAACCCGTAATATTTGCCTTTGGAAAGATAGATTTCTGGAACACTAGTTGCTTTGGCTACATGAAGCGTCAAATATGACATTCCCTGATGACTGTGTGTAAACAGAGCCTGTTTCGACACAAGGGAAGGGATTCTGATGTGCGTGGATAACACTGAAGTGACGAGTACCTCAGATGGGAACTTACTTAGGTAATAGTTACATACAGCTAACTAATAAATGTGTACACATGTGCAAATGAATCCTCGTACCTAACCAGAAGGAAATTTCTTAAGTGTGAATACATGCATACATGAATATCTTCATGGTTGGGATAAAATGATCTTAGTGAACATAATCTATATTAAAAATGTCTGACATTTTTATAATTAAAAAAATTTATTGTTAATTTTAAACTAATTTCATAGATATATCATAAAAAACAAATGCATTTCTCTGAGTACCTTAAAAAGTTACGTTTTCATTTTTTTCTAAAACTAAATATTAACCATTTGATGACCTTTTCAAATGCTGTGAGTTTCACAACAGGGCGAGTGGCAGCTTATCAGCAGGTTCATTTTCTTTGATTTTTAAATTGTGTAAAATTCTGGTAGGTGTTATTGCTGCACTGGAAATTTTCTTTCTTTATTTTTTTTTTAAGATTTTATTTATTTATTTGACAGAGAAAGACACAGCGAGAGAGGGAACACAAGCAGGGGGAGTGGGAGAGGGAGAAGCAGACTCCCCACCGAGCAGGGAGCCCGATGCGGGACTCGATCCAGGGACTCCAGGATCATGACCGGAGCCGAAGGCAGTCGCTTAACGACTGAGCCACCCAGGCGCCCCCAAGGAAATTTTCTTTCTTTAAAAAACATGGAGAAAATATTGCATTTGAAACTATAAACAAAAGAGTCTAAAACTCTTACTCGCCATGCTACTTATACAATTCAACACAGTAGGAAATGTGCCTCCAAAATCATATAATAATTCACTGTTAAAAACTGAGTTGTAGCACAGTGCTCAAGTGCTGTACCTTTCTTTCTACTCTTAATTCTCAAGTGGCATCATGTTCTCATTTATTGAATGCCCCTGATATTCCAGTCACCTAGCTGTAAATTGGCTTCCCTCCCAGCCTAATAACTTGGAGACTTTTTTGTAGAACAATTGTAATATTAAAATTCAGACAAGTGACCCAAAAATGGCCCTAGAGGGCAGGCCTGCAATTTCCCGATTTGCACTTTCCTTATTCTCTCATTTGTTAAGTTTCGCGACATCAATTTTTATACTGTTGCTGTTTTATCCTGGCCAAATGGTTGTTGAATTTTAATGAACTGTCTCCCTTTGACAAAGGAGTTATTGTTTGATATATTACATTAGGGATATAGAGAATAAACTACTTATGGATACTAGATATTTGGATAAAATACATTTACATAATACTAGACTATTAGTGTAATGAGTTCTATTAGTTGTAAAAAGGACAATACACAGCAGATTTTGAAACATGCTCAAGAATGATGGACATATACATAATTTAAATCCCAGTACCTCAGACGAAATGGGAAGTATTTTCACATTATATAACTGATTTTTCCCCCCTTTGTTATGGTGTAGAGAAAATTTTGCTTTCATGAAATAGATCTGAAGGATGGGGAAACTTTTTCTGATTATTAGCAATTACTCAGATAGGGTGGTAGTTGAATTCACTATTAACGAAATGAAATAGATGTGGAAGAGTAATTTAAAAGGTTGAAAACACTATAGTTATGCTCCCTTTCCCCCCAGTGCTTCCATCCCACTAGGGAAGAGGGATATTTTTTCTCTCATGTGAGGGTGTATGGCTTGGATTAAAAGTACTCTTTGCTCTGTGTTTTCCATTCAGACTTGATTTCAAAATAATTTACCCAGACACTGTTATAGTAAAGGAAAATGTTTCAAGCAAACTCCCACATATTCAGAAGCTAAATGGCCCACAGGTTCAAATGCCCACACTTTAAACATATTATTATATGCTAATTGTGTGCATGATGATGAGGCACTTCAACGTTCTGAAGTACCTTGCTAATCATTGTAGGAAGAGGAAATTACATTTGGTATGACTTTACTGTTAAGTATATGTAAGTTGTTTTATTCGAGCTATAGTAAAAACTCACATACTCTAAACATAATAATTTTCTCCTAACCAGAATATTTAATTACCATTAGTATAAGGTAGTGATGAAGAACCCTGCTGGCTCTTTGAAGTGAACTTGAGTTCATTCTCCATTCTGTCACTGACTAGCTTTGTAAACATGGGAGTGCAGCCAAGATTCTATAAGCCTCAGTTTTCTCATCTGGAAATTAGGATGGCCAAACCTACAACTTCCTATTTTTGTTCTGAGGATAAGTAATACAACGAAGGTCCAATACATAGAACATATGATGAGTTTATAAATACTATTGTTGTTCTTCTTGTTGTTATTTAGGACTGGGGAGTCATTCTAGGGGTGTGGTTAAGAGTATGGAACTTGGAGGCAGAGAGACTGCTCCAATCCTGGTCTTGCTATTTCCTCGCTGTATGATCTTTGACATTCTTTTAAGATTTCTAATTCTGAGTTTCGTCCACTGGAGTGGGGAGCTTGCAATAATTCCTATTTCGTAGAATTGTTGTGACGATTAAGTAAGATGACACATGAAAAGTACTTATTGCATTAGCTGAAACATAGCACCTGCTCAATGAATGGTAGCTCATATTTTTGAGCTTTTTGTTGTTACCATTTTTACTATTATCGGCTATTATTTTATACCTTTTAATTTCTCCAAACATTCTGGGTGAACAGATACTTATTTTATACAAATTCAAATATACAATATTTCATAAATATACAAAATACAAAACTAAAAACCAGAAAAGATATCCAAAAGAACTTTAGAGCATTAAGTATACAAACATGTGGTTATGTTACCACGAATGTTCTTTCATTCTTAAAGTCATTTAGCAGTTGTTAGTGCTGGCTTCAAAATTGTATTCTCTTTGATAAACATTATTTAAGTATACACATTATAGAACTCAAGTAGCTATCCAAAAAATATTTTACAGAATATATTCATTCAATACTATGTCGACCAACTCATTCATTCAATAAATACGTAATCACCTACCATTCAGTCAGAGTTGTGCTTAGTGTGGTAACCGAAGCACTGTCCCTGGCATGTAGCAACCAACTGTCCCAGCAAACCTACAATATTACTTCTCCCAATGAGCAAACCATGGTGGAAGTTAGAGTTAGGGAGTGATTCTCCCAGGAGCCCATCAGGTCAAGTAGGACTCAGAATAGTTGATGTTATCATTCCTGACTTCAAAGAAACTCATGTTAGAGGCTCCATCCTAAACTCTACAGCACTGGTTGGCCAATATGAACCAGACTCTAATCGATCGGAAATGATAAATTGGATATGCTAGTCAACATGCTAGGTCTGAGGCAGAAGCATCAGGCAAAACGCCTGCAATTTGTTCTGATTTGTCTTTGATGACATTTCTCCTTGCATACTGTTAAATTCCTACCATGAGAAAGTAAAAGAGACTCCGTACCACTCTCTTAAGGTCAGGAAATATTAAAAGAAAATAGT